AAGATAAAGGATATTGTTACTAAATTCTAAATAAAAGGTATTGTTACTATCCTCAAGTCACACAGAAAAGACTTAAGGATATAAAGCGATATGTAGCTCAAGTTTGTTGTTAGTGCTATGTCCTTTAAAGAAATGAAAGACAAAAAGGTAAACAAAATTTTCTAAAACTGTTTCTATATACCAATAATTTATAGGAGATCTATCAGCCACAAAATCCATCACGAGTTTCATACAAAGTTAGAGTTAGAATTTGAGATAGGATGGAACTTATTCTATTAATTTTAAATATCACTGTATATTATTAGTCTTCTTTTTCCAAACACAGTTTATTATTATAAATCACAAGAACTAACTGCACAGCTTCTACCAAGGAGTTTATTAAGGTACTGAAGAAGTTTAATTACATAATGTCTAGTCCTACACTTGAGCGTAAACACATACATACACACATACACCTGCTAAAAAAAAATATTGAATATATTTTAGATATGCAATACTGCCACAAACTAATGTGATTAAGTTACCTAAAAATTAAGAAATTATCATAATTTGGCATAAAATTATAAACTGTAACAATCTAACATCGTTCACCTAAAAATTCCTACAATAATCATGCTATATACACTGATAACTTTATGTATATAGTTACTGTGTATTTAAAGAACCAGCTTTAAAAATATATATATCATTCCCACTGCTCTAAACAGCACTCTGAGTGCAGCCTGGATGTGCACACACATGCACACGAAGCACACACACGCTCATACACAGACACTCCTAATCTTACACCTGCTCTGAAGCAGTAGGAAGTGAATTCTCAATCTGTCAACATGACCATCTGGTCTATCTGCATATCACGGCTTTCTCTATTACTATATGAAGGAATGGTAATCATGAAGCCAAAATAAAACTAAAATGCACCTGAATGGGAGTCTGTCTCTCTCTTTGTTGAAATGGAATAATACATGACTATCAGAGCAAAACTAGAAGTAATGTAAATAATTTTAAATGAGCTTTCATGCCAGCATAATTAAGTGAACAATATGGTACAGGTGTTGTGGTAATCAGTAAGACTACCATACAGGTTTACAGGACAGATACCAGATTTCCGAAGCACTGCAACAGCTCTTTCAGTGAGTGACAGGAACTTTGCTATTCCTAGTCCAAGCAAAACTAAGTAAAAGTAGTAACAGGTAGCATGGTAGCAATACGTAATCAGTATTTATTGTACTAAAACACTACTGTGCAAAAATGTTCACTTCTACAACTTAAAACTAACAAGTACTTGTGCTACCATTAGGACAAATTCAATTTGTTCTGTCACTTGCTAATTAACAATTACAGCAATTGTCTGACAAATTTCAGTCACTTAGTAGTCTTTCAAAGTGAATTTTAAGACCGCTAAAAATAACTTCTGATCTTTGAAAATTCCTCATCTGCAAAAAGTGAAGATGTTCATTGTGCCATAGCTTTTGAGCCTAATGCTACTTGAAAATTAGCAAAGGCCTTAGTTGAATTAAACGTAATTCTATTTGTTTAATTTTAGTTTTTAAACTTCTCCACACAGCTGCCTCGGAGCTTCCATTCTACCCCGCAGCAGGTAATAAATATCAAAAATAAATTGTGACAGTCATCCTATGGCCTACATACAGTAACCTATCTCTAAGACTCTTAAAAAGTCTAACCTCTCACAAAATTTAACTAACTCAACTAAAAACCTTTCTAGATTCTCATTACATTACCAGAAGTTATACAGAAGCAGTTTAAAAAAAAAAAAAAAACTCTCCAGAAAGTTCTCGGTTGAGTGCCTACTAATGAACAAAGGTTAACTTTATCTAAAAGGTCAAATGCCTGGTGGCTAAGGTTATGACCTTAACAACTTAAATTGTGACCTTGCCACGTGCCGGGTATATTGTAGATTCTGATACAGATCATCTGGTAAAGACTGGTCATAAATTAGCTTTACTGTTACACGCCCACGAAGAAAACCATTTGCCACAATAACATAATATCTCCAAGTTTTCATATGATACATAAGAAAGACAACTCAAATAGAGACCAAACTAAGGGCATAAAATGATTTTACTCTTTTATACTTTTAACGAGATGAAATTCTCAGGCTTATAGAATCACTGATTTCATTACACTTGTTACTGTTTATCAGCCACAAAATTCACATGGTTATAATGCCGCTGGATTTAGAGGGAAAAAAATGGAATGTAGTTTATGTATTATATTTTAGCATCTCACTACATCTTAAATCACTTCTACTTTCAAAAAATGATTGATTCTGCATTAACTTCCAGCATTTACATGTGTGTTCCAAGATTTCAACTTCCTATCAAAGAGGCCGAGGCATAAAGCGATAAAATGCTGTACGCATTTTTAGAAGGAAAAAAAGATCTCATTTTGGTAGCCACCTAGGGGAAAAATAAGATTTTTTGGGAAGAAAAAAACATAATATTTTAAAAGAAAGAGAGAGAGAGAAAAGAAACATACTATAGGTGAAAAGGCCACAATGGTTTTGGCATGTTTCTTGAAGCACGTTTCAGAGTCTCTGCCTCCTGCCAATACTGGCAAGTTCTCAAAACTTTTAAGGAGGTAAAAACATTGTTTAGTGTTTACAAATCTTCAGTATTATAACAGATGCTTGTCAAATCAGTTGTATGTAAGTTGACCGATCTACCTCATATTTGTATTGGCAGCTTCTCTTCCACAAATAACAGGTCTCTAAATCTCTGTATTCAAACTTGAAATATCTTCAGACAAAAGGCTCCTAATATTTTCTTTTGCAATCGTCCTGTTGCGCGCACAGAGAAGCAGCCATCACTGCGCTTCGGTAAAAGCCAATGGCCTAACACTTGGCTGGTGTTCAGGCTTAACAAGGGATTCTGGGATACACCAGGAAAACCAAACCAAAGGTAGTCTGATCCATGTTGCTGTCAATAAATCTTTCATAAGCAATAAGGATGCTAACTCTCCTAAGCAACCTTCTACACGTCATTTTGCCAACATAACCCTTCGGGTACTGAAAAAAACAGCAACTGCAAGCTCAAGGATTTGGAACAAGAGCACAGTAACAACAACAACAACAACAACGAAAGGGAATACATGTAACAGCAATAGCTAGAAAGGTTACATCTCTTTAAATCTAAGGTAAATGTTCACGTCTAAAACTTAGAACAGATGCTGCTCATACTGATAAAAACATATTATATTTCATTTTGATGTTACCCTGTAAAGAAACACAAACAATGATATGCTTCACCTGTTGACACCCTCAATTTTCAATTAGAGCATTTATTATAATTTATAAAGCATTTGTTATAATTTATAAATTGTTGACTTTTCTAAATACTGAAAAGATTAAACATAAGATTTTAAAGAGGGCTCTTTGAAAGCATTTTTTTTTTTTGCACCTTGCCTTTCCCTATCAGAATCTCCACTTACACGTGCAAATAAATTTTTAAGAATTTTAACTTTGCTTATTCAACAGGAAAAAAAAAAACAAAATAAGAACAATAGGATGGAAAGGGGGTTAAGAGGAGGCTACTTTTCCTGTTTAGGGGCCATGTGAAAGGTGTTGCTTTTTTCATTTTCACCAACCAGAACTGTGTAAAGCAACAGGCACTTCTTATAATTAAGTATACATTTTCAGAAACCCAAATATTTGAAACACTTACAGATCACATCCTCTAAAATACGCATCTATCCCCTGCCAACAGAATGCAAATGATGATGCGACATGCTTGCAAAGTTAATTTCTCCAGTTTCTTATGTAAGGACAGATGGATAACAAAAGTTCTCTTTCTAAAACATATATTGAGAAAAATAATAGAGATTAGGATTTCCGCTGAGTTCTTTAAAAAACAGCTCACATTTTGAGAATTAAAAATGTTTTGGCAAAACAGTACAGTGTTGATTTTACAGGTACTATCTTTCTCCTTTGTGAAAAAATACATAATTACATGAACCCCAAAACAATCTACTGGTAGGATTCTACAACCTTCCTTCTCCCATCTGACCCAAGTAACTGCCATGAAGATAATCTAGCAAGACCAATATGTACCTATAAAAAGTCAACAAGTCACACTAGACCTGAGCTTTCACATAACACAATGAGCCTTTTGTCTAAAACAAGACGAAAGGAACAAAGTAAAAAATGCATTATTTTATCCAATCCTCAATAGTTTTATCCTGAATGCTACCTGAAATGCTGTAATGTGCACAGATAAAACATGTCTTGAAAACAGCCTGGCAACAATAAATAATTTTATTACGAATCAAAGCAACTCACTAAATCAATTATCAATACCAATTTTTCAATGCACTCATACACTATACAGGTTTGTTACTTTTAAGGTTAACCTCTCCATCAGTTACTTAAAGAGCTAGTTTGCTTTTTCCCTTAGCTTATCTCAGACAACACTAAAAGTTCCTAAATACAAAGCTACTAAGTTAACGTATTAATGTAATTCTTTTCTCCTTCATAAACTATCAGCAATTTGATAGTAATCTTACCTCCAGCCTCTTAATTAGCAAGAGGTTCAAGAGGCCCCAGTAGGTTAAAAACACTCCCTGAAGAAAGGCCGCTAAAAATATTACCTCACTACCAAACTAAATGCTTTTCAAGTAGATCACTTGCCAGTTAAAATATACTCTTTGTTACAAGGGTTTTTATGAGGCTTCTCTCACCCAACATCAAAAAATGTGATTTAAACATATCGCATAACTGACTACCCAACACCTTTGATGATACTACTTGCCAAAAGAACTGAACTTAGTGATAATTCTTTCAAAGCTATGCTTTTTCACCCAAACGAAGATGACACCTCAGACAATGGGGATTCTGGCCATTCTGACTTTGGCCCACCTTTGAAACCGCACTGTCTGTAAATACATGGCCTACAACTTAGGGTGTTCAGGAATGGCATATACAGAGGTCATCAGGAAAGAAATACACACAAGAAAGTGGAACAACTTCTCACCATTGCACTTACCTGCTGCATGCACAAAGTATGCCAAATATAAATCGAGTTCCTTAACAGAAACCCCTATGTGATGGGGCTGGACACAGAGCCCTGGATTAGAGCACTGCGGGGACTTTACAAGGCGCTCGCCATCAGTACTTTCGAGCGGAATACCTTTAAATAAAATCACCATAACCAGGTCCAACCTCCAGACTTTATCTGCCTGGCGGAGGCAGTCAATTCTTCGCATCTTGCCTTTCTGGTCTGGGTTGGAAAGAACACAACATGGAGGCTTTTTCCCTGTAACTGTAAGCACAAAATCCTCTCGGTACTCAGGTCGGATATCTTTCCGTAACTTGGCCAGAAGTCGAGATGCCCACTTCTGCTTGACCTCTGGTTTTTCACTTAGCAACTCATCCTTCACAGCTCTCTCTTCTTCTTTTGACATACGCTTTTCATGTTTTTTGAAATATTTTCGTTTTCGGGCCTGCAGATTGAACCATGTGTAGGCGAAGGCTCGGACGTGGGGCAGAAGTGCTTCAATGAAAGGATGAAATTCATCCTAGGGAAATGAATAAAAACATAAATATGAATAGACTGAAAACAAAAGGAAACAACTTTTTTCAGATGATCTCCTTAAATATATATATATATACATATCTTTATTTCACTTGAAATTTGGTTCAAGCATTATATTACCAAAATCATATATAGGATCCCTATAGAAAGCCCGAGAAGGGTGAAGGTGGGGGGCGGGGTGGAGAAAAAAAAAAACAAACACCAGTATCATTTCTCACAACTAAAAGAAGAAAATTAAAAAATATTTTAGCATGTTCACCAAAGTGCCCAGATTCAATGGTCAGGCCTCAGTCTCTCATCCTTTAGATAGTTAAGTGAAATTTATTAAAATGCTTATAACAATATATAATCTTAACCCTATTTCAAGGAAGGCATATCTAATTTTGCTCCAGCCTTGACCTCACTACTTGTAGTACAGCCAGGGCTCGGCCGCCAGATTGGCAAACCCTAAACATTCAGATGCCAGTCAATGTTTATGAAAGTCTAGGAGCAAAAATCATCTCTGCAATCAATGAAAATAAAGACTTTCCCTCTAAAAACATTGCATGTAAACTCTGATGTTTCTTAGTCATTTTGGTAACATCTTAATTCCCTTTTAAGTATTACGATTGCACGTAATTTTTTTTTTTTTTTTGTCAAAAACCTAGATCATTATGGCAGGGACCATAAAGAAGAGATAAATCTAATATTCATCAGACTAAAATATCTATGCCCAAGACATAATTGCTGATACTATAGCAATGAAACAAAAAGGGGGAAAAAAGAAAAAAAACAAAAAGTACATGCCAGATAGTAAACAGAATGTGTCACTGTGACAATAGTGATGCAACTAAATACATTTAATTTACTGATATGATTGTGAAATGCCTTCAGTAATGATCATCCCTAAAAAAAAAGAATTATTTAATTTTTGAAAATAATATTTCAGGCTTTTTCCCAGAGGAAAACAGAGAACCTGGTATATACAAAGATTACAAGACTCTAGGAAAACCTTCATGGTTGCCTCTTAAAATTCAAGTAATTTGGAAATAATATTGAATTTAAAATATTAAAATTTTTCCTACTGTTTTATTAAAATTTTTTATTCTTTTGCTTGACATTTTCTTAGTAAATATAAAAATAAAATTAAAGAAAAATTAACAGCAACCTCCACAAAGCTATCTGAGTACATTTAACTTTTGATTAACCAACCCACACTAATCTTACATAACTTCTCTCCGCCGCACAACACCCCCCAAAAGATCAATTATTTACTTTCAAATAAAGGAGGATAAGAAAATCAGAGGTAGTTGATGACTTTCTTAGAAGGGTGTGCGACAGACAAATATAAAACACACTCTTTTTCAGTTCTTAATATCCATGTAAATATACACTTTAGAGACAAAATTGTGATATTCAAAATATTATTACTATTAAAGCAATTATTAAATTTTTAAATGTTCAAATGTAAACTTAGTGGTTAAAATTGATTAAATATTTTAACAATGAAGTCTGTTAAAATATTGTAAATTATAACCAATCATCTAAATACTACGTATGACAATTTTTTAAAGTATAAATTAATATGATACATAATAAATCATTTCAATTATTGACATTTATTTTTTTCTTCTCTAAACAAATTTCAGGCTTTGTATTTCAAGTTTAGCTTTGAAAACTGCTCTTTTTCAATAAAATAATCCAAAAGAAAAGTCAGCTTTTATAACATGTGAGCATTCTTTAAGTGGAGAGGAAACAGAGAAAAATACAAGAATTATATTATTCTTTACCAAAAACCATTAGCATTTTTAAATTTCTGATGTTTGAGAATCTTTCTTACTGCCATACTGGAGAAGAGAGAAATTGGGGGGCAGGGGGGTAGTATTTTTCAAGTCACAGTTTATCTAATAAGGTACACGCCAAACCGCAAAGCATTTAAACATTACTAAATTCTGAGCTCATCCTTGAAATGCTCTAAAATACATAAATTTTGGGTTTGAAACAGTCCTTCACACTGACTGATTTTCTTATATACACAGGACATGCTAGGGACCAAAGCTGTATGGTATTATGCAAAGAACTCCTGGGGTCTACCTTAACTACAAAGTGAGCTTTCACCAAAAGGATTTCATTTTAAAATCTCAGCCCTATTTTCTAATGCAGAGAATAACTTAGTTCCAAACAATTCATATTTATGTTAAAACGTTATCTTATTAAAAAGCTTTATTAATAAACATTTTAAATAAACATTCTAATATGCATTTAAATAAACATTCTAATATGCTTGAAGATACTCCCAATATCCTTCTCAGAGAATTGCAGACTGCATTCATTCGTGTTCAAAAGGATTTTGTTTACCTGCCAACCAAATGCCCATATATCTCAGCATAAAAATCTTTAAATGAGGCCAACTACGTCAACTAATTATTAAGAATAATCTAAGTCCCCAATTTTGCATCAGAAGTATTTACAACTTATTACTCCCCAAAGGTTTCAAGGCTGTGCCAATAAAAGAGCACAATATTTTGTATAACTTTACTCACGTGCACAATTAAAGTGCTAGCTATCTTTCTCAACTGACAATTAGAAATATTCCAGAACATCAAAACTAAAGAATATCATTAGCTTGTGGGAAATGTCCTGGCATAGTATATATTAGTTTAAAAAAAAAAAAAAAGCAGTATGCCTTTACAAATCTTGTTGCTGCACATACAGTCATAAGCTACGTAATATTTCAAAATATTCACGAGAAAACAAAGAATATTTTTTACATATGTACTCGGTGAGAGAGTTACAGCCACCAATAAAAACAAACCTGAAAACCTGTTTCAAAAGTGGTATGACTTCGAATCAACACCTAAAACGTTGATCTGTTTGTAAGTAAGCCAAGTTTAAGAACCACTGAATGCTGATATGCCTGGAACTACTTCTCAAAGGTTCACCTATAAATTTCTACTGTGTTATCATTCTATGGCCAGGTACATGATTTGGTTATGATATGCCTATATGGATTAAAATAAGATATCTGGCATTTTCCTGGTTAAGTTTTTTTAAATTGCATACACATATATGAAGTTTATTCCTTCATTTAGAGCACTTTTATCACTGTGCTTAGTGGACTTTCTTTAACGACCAATAAACTACCTAAGTTTTTCTTTTAAAAACTGGCTCTAAAGCTCTATAAATATTCCAGCAAATTAAATAAATTGTAAGTCAATTTTTAAAAGAAGAACTCATAAAATATATGGCCCTCATTCACTATTTAGTGTATATTTTCTTCACAAACTGTTACACTAAGTAAGCGTTTCTCTTAGTGGTATTTCCAGATGAAGGCCTAGTGAATATATCAATCGCACTGCCAAACATGTCTTTAAAAAACAAACAACTTTTTTAACGTGATAATAGTTCAAGAACCAAGAGAATCCAACTTTGTGAAATACCTGACATGTATGCCCTTGGCCTGCATGGATACACAGGTATCCTCCTATATGTACCATCCCAAAATATAAATTTTTCTTTTGAGAGCTCACTTGAGAAGATGCTAATGTATCCTACTACTGCAGCACAGTGGTATTATCTACAAGTTGTATGTGTTGCAAACTTTTGCCAGCTAGAACTTCAGCCTTTGAATCTCAGCATTTTCACTGTAGTGGTAACTCATTCAAATTATCTTACACTTTGCAACTTATCCATATGCAATTGTGAACCTTGCCAGAGTGGTTGGAAAAGTTTCATTCCAACTTCCACAAGTTACTAAAATAGGAACTTTGGAAGTTTGTTAGGGAAAAATTTTTTTAAATTTTGCAATAACTAAAAGCAACTGCTATCTATTATTAATGTTAGGCCTAAATCCCAAACAGACCATTTCAACATAAAAGATACATTCAAGAGTCTTCTGAGGTCAAACAGTCGGTATTTTTACTGTTAGATATTGCAATAAGGGATGTCATGTGGGAAATAAATCCAGAATCTAGAGAGGAGAGAAAAAAACTACTGATACTTTTTAACCTTGTAGAAAGTATTCCGATTAAACCGTTATCTCCTGCTAAATGAAGGCAAGAGGTGGCAGCAGGTTTTTTTAAGGGAGTGGTGAATAAACATTTTATATGAAGCATACAACTCATGTAGGTGATTAATGGTCAGATCTCAACGTAGCATAACAGTATGAAGGTTCACACTTTTTTCCCTTTCAATTTTTTTTTTTTTTTTTTTTTTTTTTTTTTTTTTTTGCGCAAAATCACTTTGACTTTATGCCTTTTAGTCAAAGAAAATAAATAATATATTCAAAAGAGACCAGATTTGGAGCCGTGAAGTAGCAATATTTTGCCTGGGGGTGGTGCAGACTAGAGAGGGATGGAAAGGGAGGGCATGGAAAGGAGGGGCAGGGGAGCGAGAGAGACCCACGCTCCGAGTTGAGTCGGAGGGAAAAGTTGCCCCCGTCCTGCGAGCGGAGCGGCCCGAGTCGCGCTGCGGTGGCGGGAGGCGGCGGCGGCG